GCTGGCTGTGGGCAACTTCCTCAATGGGTCCCAGGTGAGTGATAGCACATAGAGGCTGTAGGCCAGGGCTCTGGAGCTATCCAGGCCCAAGCTCAGACAGGGTCCTTTCAGAGCAGCGGCTTTGAGTTGAGCTACCTGGAGAAGGTGTCAGAGGTGAAAGACACAGTACGCCGGCAGTCACTGCTGTACCATCTCTGCTGTCTAGTACTCCAGACCCAGCCTGATTCCTCCGACCTCTACTCAGAGATTCCTGCCCTGACCCGCTGTGCCAAGGTTAGAATCAACCAGAGATTTGACTGAGATTGACCATGGCATGTTGTGCACTTTCTGGGTCTGGCTCCTTCTCCGTTTCAGCTGCTGTGCCAGTGTGCTCAGGCTTCAGGTTGTGTGAACTATATCCTCTACCAGAAGCATTCTTTCCTTTCTTGTCCTTCTCATAACTCCCGTCTCTGGGTCTGTTTATCTGCCACTTCCTCCAAGAAGCCTTGTCTGTTCCCTATAGATCAGACTTGTCTGTCTCTTACATTAGACCATAAGGTTTTGGAGAGCAGAGGCCAAATCTCAGCAATGTCCCTGAGGCCAAGGGTGGCCAGCCTGGCACAGAAGTAGCCTCAGGCAGTGTCTTACCTATGGAAAGATAACACATGTACTCTACTGGTTTGGTTGTTTTTGCTTTTAGATAGGGTCTCACTGTATAGTCCAGCTAGCCTTGAACTCCTTTTGTAGCCCTAGCTGGCCGTGAAACTGCAACACTCCTACCTCAGGCTCCTAAGTGCTGGAATTACAGGCAAGTACCACCATGCCCTGCCCCTTGTTTTTCCAGGTGGACTTTGAGCAGCTGACTGAGAACCTGGGGCAGCTGGAACGCCGGAGCCGGACAGCTGAGGAAAGCCTTCGGAGCTTGGCCAAGCATGAGCTGGCCCCAGCCCTGCGTGCCCGCCTCACCCACTTCCTGGCCCAGTGTGCCCGTCGTGTTGCCATGCTCGAGGTAGTACACCGCCGTGTCTGCAACAGGTAAAAGAGTGTGGGACAGGGAGAGGTAGCTGTCAAGCCCGCCACCACCCTTCAGACACCAAGCAGGACTCCATATCCCTTCCCATTCCAACCTGCCTAGGTTCCATGCCTTCCTGCTCTACTTGGGCTACACTGCACAGACAGCCCGTGAAGTGCGTATCATGCAATTCTGCCACATTCTTCGGGAGTTTGCACTCGAGTATCGGACTTGTCGGGAACGGGTATTGCAGCAGCAGAAGAAGCGGGCCACCTACCGTGAACGTAACAAGACCCGGGGACGCATGATCACTGAGGTGGGTGCCCTTCCAAATCATGACTGCCACTCCCACAATTCCTTTCCTACTCCTAGCTCACCCTTGACCCTTCTCCAGACAGAGAAGTTCTCAGGTGTGGCTGGAGAAGTCCCCAACAACCCATCTGTTCCAGTGGCCGTGGGGAGTGGGCCAGGCCGGGGTGATGCTGACAGTCATGCCAGTATGAAGAGTCTGCTGACCAGCAGGCCAGAGGACACTACACATGTCCGCCGTAGCAGAGGTGGGACCCATAGCTGCTGCTGGGTGGGAACAACGGTCCTTGGCCACCTTGACCTAACTTCCCTACCTGGTCTCCCTCAGGTATGGTCCAGAGCAGCTCCCCAATCATGCCCACAGCAGTGGGGCCCTCCACTACACTTCCTGATGAACCTCCAGGCTCCAGTTTACCCAGCGACACATCAGATGAGATCATGGACTTATTAGTGCAGTCAGTAACTAAGAACAGCCCTCGAGCCTTAGCTGCTCGGGAAAGGAAGCGTTCCCGTGGCAACCGCAAGTCTTGTAAGTATATCCCACAAGCCTACTGCCCACCTTAACCCCACCAACCCCCTCAATCCTATTCTGTCTCTGCAGTGAGACGAACGTTGAAGAGTGGGCTTGGAGATGACCTGGTGCAGGCACTAGGACTAAGCAAGACTCCTGGCCTGGAGGTATGAGGGTGCTGCCTCCAGGAAGCCCATCTGCATCCCAGCCTGCAGTATAAGAGACTGTAGAGCAAAGAGGGCCCAGAACAGAATACTGGTCCCAGAACCTTGTGCCCAAGGGCCAGTGCTTTTAGCAGTATTAGCATGTGCGCGTGCATGTGTGTGTGTGTGTGTGTTTGTACATGTGTGAGCTCCCTAATCAGAGAGCAAAATAAAAGTTATTTTAGCTAATTCAAGAGCCTTTTCCCTTGTTCTTTCTTTTCCGTGTGTGTGTGTGTCTGTCTGTCTGTCTGTCTGTCACTGGGGATTGATCCCAGGGCCTTTGCACTGAGTTACATCCCCAGCCCTTTTGTCTTTTTAAAATTTGAAACAGATTCTTGGGCCAGGGATTTAGCTCAGTGGTTCCGGCGCCTGCCTCACAAGTGCAAGGTCCCGAGTTCGATCCCCGGTACCAAAAAAGAAAAAATTTGAAAAAGGTTCTCGTTAAGGCTACACTGCCTAGGCTGAGATCAAACTTGCAGTCCTCCTTCTTCAGCCTCCCAGACATCACACTCAATTTTTTCCTCTTTTAATCCCTTCCTCCCCGCAGGCTGGTACTGTATACCACAGGACTAGTTCTTCCTGCTTTGTTCCTGATTATCACTCATACAACCATTAGCTATATTCTAAGCCATTTATTCAGCGATCCTCTACCTTGGGCTGCTTTTGGCCCTGGACTAGGCACTCACTGCTCTAGCCACAGGGGACATGCAGCCTGATAGTCACCCAGGAACCTGTGGCCACAACGTTAATGGCTATAACCGCTTCATCTGTCGCCGCTCCTGTCGGCGCTGCCGTTTTTCATTGTGCTCTGGTGCTGAGGTGCCACTGTCTGCTGTGAACCAAGGGCCCAGCACATTCACCCACAGGAGGTAAAGGGCCCGACCTGGAGCCTAGGAGTGAGAAAATAACTTGAAGTCAGGGGCAAAGAATGAAGGATGGGGGTTCGTGACCCTTTCTTAGAAATCCCCTACCACGCACCAGAAGCCAGAAGGACCAGATGTAGAGGGAGAAGCAGCTGAGCACCTGCACAATGGCTGTCAGCAGGATCACATCCTTGAGGTGCCTATGGATAGAAGGGAGGCTGTAAAGGCAGCAGATGGGTTCCTGTTTATTCCCTTCCACTCTCTTCAAGTTACAGGTTGTGTGTCTTGGGCTCTCTGGGCCCCAGCGCCCTAGCCCTGGGGCCGCTCACCTGGGCTGGCGGTGGGGGACACTCACTCTGCCATGCCCTGCTCCATGTTGAGGTCCATGCCACCATCCATCAAGGCCCCATCTTCAGAGAAGGCTGCTCGAGCCATGGAGCTCATAGAGTGATAGCTGGCTCCATATACTGCCAAACTGAAGGCCAGGGCAATCTGCAGAGCAAGAATACAAGTATTGAAAACCAGACACTGGGCCAGGATTTAGCTCAGTGGTTCTGCCACCTGCCTCAAAAGTGCAAGGACCCAAGTTCGATCTCCAGTACCAAAAATAAAAAATAAAAAAAACCCCAGACACTGACCCTATACAGTCATCCACTTTGCAGAATGAGGACACTTACCCAGGCCCAAAATGAGGCAGATGAGTAGAAGAAAACCAAGGTCACAAGGCAGTAAATAGCCTGCAAGCAAATACAGGATCAGGTTAGGCAATGAAAGGTAATCCCAAACCATGGGCTTCCCTCAATTCTGACCAAGAATTAGGCCAGGTTGTAGCAGGAGCCAGGTTTTTCTTATAGGGTTAAGAAAAGAATTCTGCTTTCTGGGTCAGAGCACCCAGACTCTCCTGATATCCAAGTCAGCCTAAGAATAAAGCCTTTGTGTATCCAGGGTGGCTTCAGCTGTTAAATCCAGCTGGGACACACTTCATTGCTTTTTTTCTGTGTTTGCCTTTACTACTCAGCACTTTCTATGTGCAATGATCCTTTCTGGGTTTTTTTGGTGGTGGTGGTGGTGGTGGTTGGTTGGCTGGGTTTTGGTGATGGGCTAAATCCTCAAAAATGCTAGGTAAGCACTCTAACCGTGAGCCACACACCATTTCTTTTTTGAATGTTGTTCTCTTGTGGTGCCTTAGCTGGCACCACCACTCCTCACCAAACAGATCTGAAGGTTGTGGGCCTATGAGTGGGCACAGAAGAAAAGGGGCAGACACTTACATTGGCCCCCAGTATGATTCGCAGGTAGAACTTCAGGGTCTCTCTGTTCTCTTCAAATATCTGCTTCTTCCCTCTTGTGCCCACTTTGCCCTTGGGCTGCAGCGGGATGAGATGAAATGCTATCAGGTCTCTTCTCAAGCATGGTCCTTCTCATTTCCTAAGCTGGTTAGGTACTGAGTTCCATCTGCACCTCAGCCAGGTCCTCATATTGCTCAAACCTAGTACAGTCCCTGGGATGTCCAACCCTCCTCCAGCCCATCCGGTCTAGAGTTGACACCATCTTCACAGCACCTCCAGCTATGACTGCGGCTTCCTGGCTCAAAAAACAATTCAACCCTAGACTAATACCTTTTCTAGCTCCCCTGGTAAGGTTCAGCTTTGGGGTGAGGACCACTCCATTGGCATTCTTCTTGAATAGTGTTGAAGACTCCCTCTCCAGCCTCTACTCTGGAAGTGACGCCCATCCCCCTTTGGCACTAGTTCTGGTACTGTCCAGCACAACCATCTCCCGCCCAGTCGCAGACCCCGCTCGCTTTAGTACAGTCTGTCCACTGGATGGCGCCCCCCTCTGCCCCACCCCAATCCCTTGGTGTCCTTCGCCTGGTTTTACAGTCTCAGCCCGGAGCGCTTTTCTAATGAAGACCCCACCCTCCTTACCGCCATTATACGACGCAAATAACCAGCTCGGGAAACAAGGGAGAGCAACCGAAACCACAGTCAGTAGGAACCACATCGGCAGAGCGCGCACTTCCGGTGCAGACCAAAGTCGTCAGTTTCTTGGACGGAAATAAGGGCCATTTCCTTCCTAAGTCCCGCCTCCAGAGCCAGTGGAACTACACTTACCAGAAAGCCTTGCGCAGAGGCAGAGACTGCAGGGATGCGATGGCGGAGTCGCTGCCCCTGGAGGTGAGAGGAAGAGGTCCTCAGGCCTAGCACTGGACAGGCCCCGCCCTCGGGGTCCCGAGTTTCGGGGAGGGGCTATCAACTTGCCCTGCAGCTCCCGCCTGGTGGAAGCGACCCGCCCGGCGGATCCCGGGACCTGCAAGGTCTGGGTAACGGCCCTGATTTTGGGCCACTCCATCCCCTTAGCTTGGGGAACCATCCTCTCTTCCCCTTCGGCCCCAGGAGATCGCTGCCCTGTTACTTCACAAGAGTAGACCTCCTGCCCTACCCCCTTCCCTTGAGACGGCCGTCTCCTTCCCCTCAGATCTGGAAAATGTCCGTTCCATCCCATCGTCCCAGTAGGGTAACCGATCTTATCCCCATTGGCCCCTTGGGATTGTCGCTACATTTCCTCTCCCTGACAGTGGGGAACAGACTGCACCCTCCCCATCAACTCTGAGGATGGTCCCTGAGGTCCTTCAGCGAGGACAGACTTGCTGCCCAGACCCTAGTCCTCTAGGTGATGGCTCCCCTTACCCCTTTCACACCATGAGATGTTTGCTCCCTCTGCTTAGCTAGGAGCAAGAATGCTCTACTCTCGTGGGCCAGGAGACAACAGATTTTATTCTTTGTGGCTTCTTGGAATGGCGTCTCCGCTGTCCCTTTTGTCCTGAAGGTTATCAGCTCCCTCCTGCTGCCCATGATAGATATGACACTCTCTAATCAGTCCTGAAATGCTCCCTCTTAGCAAAAATAGGCCTTCTCCCACTTCAGTGAGTCGCCTTCAATGGTATCCCTTTCCTCTTTGGCCCAGAGGATATCCATCCATCCCCGAGGATCCCATGGATGACCAATCATATCTCTTTTAGCCCCTTGGGAAGTGGGTCATGGGACAGCTATTCCATCCTCATCCACTATCTCCTCTAGTTCCTCTACAAAGACTACCCTCTTCTCAGCTTTATGAATCATGTCCCTGACCCCAAAGATGACAGGTTTTTTTCCCTTCTCCCTTTACTCCTGGATTAGCTACTCAGCCCAGAAGACAGGATGGGCACTACCTTAGTTAAGGAAGGCTTCGCTGCCACCCCCTGAGAAGGATGGCTTGGTCAGTTCCAGTCCCCATCAGTACACTCTCCCCATGCCTTCCCTCTGGCCACAGCTGTGAGAATGACCATCAATCATTCTCTTCTTAGTAATGATTTGCTTTATCTATCTCCCTACTCCTTCCCTGAGCAAATCTTTGGTGAAAATAGACATAGAGTACTGTCCATCCATAATTTAATCCAGTAAATTCTGGCTGAGCATCTATATGCTCAGCAACTGAAAAGGGAAGGAGAGATCAGAATGGGCTGGTGAAATCAAACTTAAGGAAGGACATCTTAAGAAAGAGGCCCAAAAAGACCAAAAAAATAAAAAAAGGCATATTGTGTTTGTAGGACAGTAGGGAGGATGGATTGAGGAAGCTCTGAGACCAGCACCCCCAATTAGGCATGGAGGCCTGGCAGTGCTGACCCAGGAGTGGAGATTTTCCCTGGAGAGTACTAGGGAACACTGAAGGTTTTCATTGGGATATGCTGAAACTGAAAACAGTTTTTTAAGGAAAATTAACCTAGAACTATAAAAAGTGTAATACCAAGAATGAACTTGGTGGCAAGGAGGTCAGGTGGGATATTGTGAAAGAAATCTAGGTCTGGGATGGTGAAGTCCTGAGCTACTGGGGTGGTGACATTGCAAAGGTAGAAATATCAATAACATCATTCCAACAACTATTTATAGATCATCTAGTCTCCATAAAACTAGATATTTTTTAAATCTACATTTCACACATAGAGGAACTGCAGCTTAGGGAGGTCAAGTATCTTGCCTGAAGTCGTGCACCTCAGTTGTGGTAGAGCTGGGATTTGAATGAGTCTAGGTTAGTCTGGCCTCATTTCATGCACATTTATGGGAGTAAGAGACAGAAGAATATGAGTCTGATGTATTACCAGGATGATCAATTGGGGTATACTCTTGGCATTGAAGGGGGAAGTTAGACTGGGGGCAAAGTATGAATTTCAGTTGAGATTAAAGTAATGGTGAGTTGAAGATGTAGCTCGTAGCTCAGTGGCAGAGCATCCCAAAAACGTGATGCTGAACAGTTTGAATGAAAAGCCCAGTGGACACTGGCAATGCTGGACTAGCACTTGGCAAATAGGACAATATGAAGCTATCAAATTGTTAGTTATTCCTGTTTTTGTAAACGATCAAAAGACCTAGGTCTAAACTCTGAGAGCCAAAGAAAAAAAATCCAGAGCTGGGGATTTAGCTCAGTGGTTCCACTGCCTGCCTTGCAAGCGCAAGGACTTGAGTTTGATCCCTGGTACCTAAAAAAAATTTTTTTAAATCCAGAAACAGGACATTGAAAGTGCTGAGTAAAGGCCTAGAAAATAGTGTTATAGGACTCAAAGGGAAGATTCTAGAAGAAAAGACTAGTTAATATCAATCATTCCTGACCTCACAAGTGACCCCTCTCTGAGTTCACTTTAGAGCCTCCAACCTCAGCACTTCCAGCCTCCTAGAACAGGTGGCGGGAGGACCAGAGCCTCCCAGGCTGGGTGTTGCTGGGATCGTGTCTTAACAGTTAGCTGAGAAAGTGAGTTGGTAGTGGAGAAGATGGGGAAAGAGAGGGATCCCAGAGCTGGCACTGTGAGGACAGGAGGAAGGAGTGGGATGTCACAGAATCAAAGAAGTACCTGACTTGCTGTGCTCTAGATCTATGTAAAACACTATTCTATGTTATTTCTCATAGCAGCCTATTTACATCTCACTACAATTGCCATTTTACAGATAAGGAGAACCAGTCTCAGAGAAGTCATTTGGCAGAGCAGACGTTTGAATTAGGTTTATCTTGCTCCAGTGCCCCATGGACTTTCTACCAAATTGAACAGAAGTTTGATTCTTGGCTTTTTTTTTGAGACAGAGTCTCCCTATGTAGTCCAGGCTGATCTTACACTTACTGTGTAGCCCAGGCTGGCCTCGAACTTGTGGTGATCCTCCTGCCTCAGCCTCCTGAGTGCTGGGATTACAAGTGTGCTCCACTATACCAGCTGAGGAAGTTTGATTCTTTTTTTTTTTTTTTTTTTTTGGTACTGGGGATTGTACTTAGGACCTTGTGCTTTCGAGGCAGGCGTTGGAATCACTGAGCTAAATCCCTGGGCTGGAAGTTTGATTCTTAACTGTTAGCACAAAGGTCCACTCAGACAGGGATTTATAAAGATTTATTCACAATAAAGATGCTTGAGGGAGAAATGAGTACGTCCTCACGCTTTGGAGCCAAGATGAATGAGATGCTCTGATCCCCTCGATAAACCCATATTGCTATCAGCTGGACTGAGTTTGGAAGCCCTCCCAGCTCTAACAGCCCCCAAATGCCCTGTCTTTTTCCTTCAGATGCTCACATATATTCTGAGCTTCCTGCCTCTGTCAGATCAGAAAGAGGCCTCCCTTGTGAGTCGGGCTTGGTACTGTGCAGCCCAGAATGCCCTTCGGGAGGTAAGGTGCCCACCCACCTGCCCATCTTCTCTCTCACTTCACCTTGCTCGTGGCTCTGCTCCTATAGTGTCCATCCATCCATCTGTCCATTCATGTATATTATACATTCATACATACTGGCTGCGGGTACAAAGCTGGGGCTATATAGATGAATATGATGCAGTCCCGTAAAGAGCTCATAGTCCAGTGAAGAAGAAAGACTAGTAATATGAGTGATCAAAATACCATGCGCTCAGTGCTATGACACTGGAATGAAAGGGACATAAAGAAAGGCATCTGAAGGAGGTTGACCAGCAACATCAGGGAAGGCCTCCTGAAGGAACAAGATGACAATGAAAGTTGGTCTGCTAGGATGGATAACAGCACAGGTGGAGGCACCAAAGTGTATAATAGTTCTGGAAACAACTGAAACTGAGATATAGGTGAGAAATGTCACTAGAATGGGGTCAGACTGCAAGCTGGAGATGTGTGAGGTGACAGCTTGGGCTTTGCCTGGTCACCGTCACCTTTAAGGAATGTTAGGTGAAGTGAGTGATGGTGTGTGATTTGTGTCTTAGAACTCTGCAGTGCAGAGTGGACTGGAGAGGGTGAGTCTAAGAGGGCTATGGGGAAGCAGTCCAGGCAGGAGGTGAATGCAGACCATCAATGCTAGTTTGTTTGTTTTTTTGGTTCCGGGGATCAAACTCAGGATCTTGCACTTGCAAGGCAGGCAGCAGCACCACTGAGCTAAATCCCTGGCCCTATGCTAGTTTTAATGATAGCTCTTGTTTTAACTTAGCTTTCTTTTATTATCAGTGAGGTTAAACAGTTTTTCCCTTTAGCTGACCATTTTTTTCCTCTCTTGTTTGTTCATGTTCTTTATCCACTTAACTAGTAAAGTCAGTATTTTTCTTACCCATTTGTATGAACTTTTTAAATATTAAAGAGATTAATTCTTTATATGTTTATTGAAATATATTCCTAATATGGTTGGCTTTTAATTTGATTGGTAGATATGAGTTTTTATTTATGAGATACAGAAATTAAATTTCTCTGTTGCCTCTGAACATGCCTTTTGTTTTTTGTTTTTGGTGTTTTGAGACAAGGTCTCTCTACGCAGTTCAGGCTGGTCTTGAACTCACTATGTAGCCCAGGCTTATCTCAAACTCATGGCAATCCCCCTGCCTCAGCCTCCCAAGTGCTGGGATTACAGGCATGCGCCACCACAGCTGGCTGAACATACCTTTTCTTTTTTATAGCTCTTGTTGTTTAAAGATCCCTTGCCTCTTCAGAGATTTGGTATATACACTCGTATTTCTCTTTTTCAAAACAGGCTTTTAGAGTAGCTTCAGGTTCACAGCAGAAATACTTATTTCTTATGGTTTGAGTTTTTATTGGTGAAATTTATTTTTTATTGGTAAAACTTTTTTTTTTTTGTACAGGAGATCGAGCTTGGGTCCTTGCGCTTGCACAGCAGGTGGCGAAACCACTGAGCTAAATCCCCTTCCCCTGAAAAACTTATTTTGATTTGTGTTATGAGGTAAGAAGCTAACTGGGTTAGTTTTCAAATAATCCCAACACCATTTATGTCTAATATTCCCCTTTCCTGTTGGGTTGGAATTCTCCTCAGTCACATAGAAATGTATATGTATAAGTGGGGTCTATTGTTGAATTATTTAGTGTCAGTGATCTTAGTGTCTAAAGGAATTTGATTTGATTCTAGATTTGTTGAAAATTTAAATTATGGGATAAATAGTGAAATGCAGTTGGTAGTTGGATTTCTGGTTGAGGAATTCAAGGGAAGTTCTGTGAAATAAATATAGATTTGGTTTCATTAAAGAATGGATGGGCCAGGCGTGTTGTTGCACACCTATAATGCCAGCCCTCAGGAGACTAAGGCAGGAGGGTGGGTCACCACAGGTTTGAGGCCAGCCAGGGCTACATAGTAAGAGTTCAAGCCTGGGATTTGGTTCAGTGGTTCCACCGCCTGCCTCGAAAGCAAAAGGTCCCAAGTTCGATCCCAGTACCAAAAAAAAAAAAAGTTCA